AGGTGCGTAGTCTAGTTCCCATATCTCTTCTTCTATGCGGCCATAATATGTTTGTATATTCCCATTTGGATCTGTGCCATCTATGCGAACACCACTATTTTGATTGGTGCTCCTTTTATCTTGGGCAAGCTGTTATGTAAAATGTATTCCCATTTATCTCGTACCCTTGGTACGTGAGGATATGCCACGATGGTGCGCCTAGCTAACAAATCTGATTGCTCATCAATATTGTCATCGCCTTGACATTCTTTTTCGCAACCAACCATTGAAACTTTTCATGTGTCGACGCCTAATCCAAGCTTCCGTCTTCCACGGAAACTTGGATCGTAAGAACTCCTTATGTATCTCGATGTACGGATGCACCAATGACGAGTTCGAAGAAGCTGTGTAGTGTGCTTTATTGAAATAATCGTCTTCCATGCCAATATATGTTTTCTTCCCTAAAGTTCCTTTTACCCACTGAGTCTCCCCTCATGTCGTGATTCGGGAACGCCAATCGGACAATGTCGGGAATAAAGTCAACACGAACTCAATGACCTCCTCTCGTTCCATAGCCCGGGCGATGCTTCCTTCAAAGCTTAGAACGGACTTTCACATATTTCTTCAAGACTCCCATAAACCTCTCGAAGGGAACATGTTATGTAAGAACACAGGTCCAAGAATACTAATCTCCTTCACCAAATGAACTAGGATGTGTGTCATGATATTAAAGAAGGATGGAGGAACACCAACTCAAAGTCGACAAGACATTGAACCACATCGTTCAGTAGAGTAGCTAGTTCCTTGGATTGATTGCCTTTCGAGAAATTGCATTGAGAAATGCACATAGCTTCACGGTGGCTAGGCGTACATGTGGAGGTAGAATTCCTCTTAAAGCAAGCTGGAAGCAATTGCGTCATAAGCACGTGGCGATCGTGGGACTTTAAGTTTAGAATTTTTTATCCGGCACATTTATTATACCCTTTATATTGGAGGAGAATCCCGATGGGACCTTGATCTTTGCTTAGACATTCGAACATCTTTGTCCCTCTCTTCTTTGCTAAGCGTGTAGCTAGCGGGACTTAAGTAATGACGCGTCCATCACTGTCTTCTCCGGATGAAGGTTGTCTCGTTCTTTCATGCTGCGCAAGTCTGGCGTGCTTCAAGTGAATCCTTTGGCTTCCCGTACACACCCATGAATCCTAACAGGTTCACACAAAGATTCTTTGTCAGGTGCATCACGTCGATTGCGTTGCGGACCTCTAGGACTTGCCAATAGGGTAGCTCCCAAAAGATGGACTTCTTCTTCCACATGGGTGCATGTCCATTAGCATCTTTGGGAATGCAGATTCAACGCCTTGTCCCTTTCCAAATACTACTTTCACATCCTTGACCATTGCGAGTACATCTTCCCGGTTCGGTTATGAGGCTTCTTAGGTGGTCCGGCTTACCTTTAAAATGCTTCCCTTTCTTTCTTACTTGGTGGTTCAAAGGAAGGAATCGGCGATGGCCAAGGTACACGACCTTTCGACATCTTTTCAAATATATCTTGTCAAGGTCATCAAAACAATGTGTGCATGCATTATATCCTTTGTTTGTCCGACCGAAAGATTACTTAAAGCAGGCCAATCATTGATGGTTACGAACAACATTGCTCGTAGGTCAAAGTGTTCTTGTTTGTACTCATCGGAACCGCACACTGGTTTGTTCCATAAAACTAGAAGTTCTTCAACTAATGGCTTCAGATATACATCAATATCGTTGCCGGGTTGCCTCGAACCTTGGATGAGGATCGGCATCATAATGAACTTCCGCTTCATGCATAACCATGGAGGAAGGTTGTAGATACATAGAATGGCGGCCAAGTGCTATGACTAGTGCTCTGCTGTCCAAAAGGATTCATACCATCTGTACTTAAGGCGAACCTTAAGTTTCTAACCTCATTTGCAAACTCGAAAATTCTCTATCTATCGCTCTCCACTTTGGGACCCATCATTTGGGTGTCTCAAAGATATTGTCTACCTTACGGTCTTCTTTATACCACCGCAACAACTTTGCGTGGTCTTTATTCTGAACAAGCGTTTTAAGCGTGGTATTATAGGAGCATACCACATAACCTTGGCGAGGATTTTCTTTCTAGGACGTTGTTCACCCTCGGCGTCACCGGGATCATCGCGCTTTGATCTTATACCGCATGATGCTTTTTACATACCGGGCATTCATCCAAATTCTCGTATTCATTGCCATGGTAGAGGATACGATCATTAGGACATGCATGTATCTTACGGATTTTTAATCCTAAAGGCGAGACAACCTTTTTTTGCTTAAATGCGTAGTGGTGGGCAATTCATTTGGCTTGGAAGCATCTTCTTTATGAGGTTTAATAAATTCCCAAATGCCTTATCGGATACACCATTCTTTGTCTTCCTTTGTAGCAATTCCGGTGTTGTACCCAGCTTTTTTTTGCCCCTCTTGGCCGTCGGGTATAGCAACTTCCTATGATCCTCAAGCATGCGCTCCAACTTAACTTTCTCTTTTTCACTTTCCCATTCTTGTTGTGCATCACGAATGGCATCGCCAAGAGCATCACCGAGATCATCTTCTACCGCTACCTCTTCTTCATCTCCCCATTGTAGTATCATCAAAGGCACCATCTTGAGCAATAATGTCATCAATGTCTAAATCTTCTCCTTCACCTTCTTCCATCATGACCCCGCTTTCTCCATGCTTAGTCCAACATATATAGTTTGACATGAAACCCGACTTAAGCAAATGTGAATGAAGACTCATTGAGCTTGAATATTCCTTTAAATTCTTACATAGGGCACATGGACAAAGATATGAAACCATCCCGCTTATTTGCCTCGGCCACACCTAAGAAATAGTGCAAGCCCTCTATAAAGTCTTGGGAGCGGCGATCGGCATTGTACATCCAATGGCGTGACATAATCAGTATTACGACAAATTATGAAAACCTTGAACATAATTAAGTATTTTATTACACAACATAAATGACACACACGGTTGATTAATTAACTAAGCACTGGCTACAACGTAAGCAATCCCAACTATCACTAAACAAACTAAAACTACAATGCACTTCAATAACATAATTATTTTGTGATCGTACACAACTAAAAGCAGACAAATCATTCTTACGTTGAATATCAATAAGCTTCTCCTATTTGGCTCACTCGCCTCCTCATCAATGACATCCGCTACCTCAAGCGCACCCAAATTCTGCGTATGTAGCATAATCTTCCTCCCAAGTACCAACCATCGCATCCATTGCCCTCCCACTGAAATTAAAGCCAAAAATATTTAGTCAAAATATTCAAGAAAAGCAGGTCAATTAGCCATAATTATAAAATGCGTAAGAAACTCACATCGCGATCCGGGCACTTGTAGAAAACACGACCCTTGTTGGGTCCCTGTCTCTTGACTCGGTACTCCATCACAATCTTACGCTTACACTTACCATGAGATAATGAGAGGAGTTCGGCCTCGATCGTTCGCAAGAACCGAGCGAGAGGCCGAGGATCCGATAACGATTGTCATCTACTTTCTATACTTATTTTTGCAAACTAGTGTAAATTTCATATTTTCAAATATCCATCAAATTATAGCTCAAAAACATGTTTCAATAAAAACATCCATCCGTACTAGTTGACCTTGCTTACGTGATCATCTCGACGAGCATTTCTCCACCGGACGGCACCGTGCTTGGCCAAGGAAGAGCTCCGATTCTACGAGAAAGGGAACACGGTCTTCCACGACCGTTACCGCTCTCTCTAGAATCAAAGCTCCTCCTTGACGTCGTTACCGCTTCGGCGAGAGAACATGCTCGCCGAGATGAATACGGTCCGCATAAGTTCAACTAATACGGATTTTCTACAATTTTCTAACAATTTTCTAAGTTTTTCATTTCATAGAAAAATTAATTCTAAGATCACGTAAGCCACCGGGGCGAGAATGGCGCGTGCTCAAATGAGGACGAAAGCGAGGCGTGATTTTGATGAACTAATTTAACTTTTGTTTATCCAAACATATATGCAAATCATCATGTGATTTTGAGCTAAAATGACATATAAAATCATAATAAAGTCCAACATATAAAGTTACACATGCATCTACATTGCAAAATGAGATAAGCTCTTGATAAAACATAAGAGGATTAAGTTTGTTACCTCCAAAATCGAAGAGCAACACCAATGGAGGGGAGAGTGCAAGAACAACAAAAATTTGAAGAACGAGGCGGTGAGTTTGAATAATGGAATGGCTCGGGCTCGGGAGGAAGAATTGAGCAGAATTATAGGCGGGATAATTAGTCCCGATTAGGGGTCCAAACCGGGACTAAATATTAATCTTTATTCGGGAATAACCCAAACCGGGACTAAAAAGCTTTAGTCGGCTGGTATTCTCAACCGGGACTAAAGGTAAACCTTTAGTCGGTTGGTAATACAGCCGGGACTAAAGATCCCTGCCCCGCGGACGACCGTTGGACAAGGACCTTTAGTCCCGGTTGGTATTACCAACCGGGACTAAAGGGTCCTTTAGTCCCGGGGGCAAAAAATGTCGAGGCTAATGCTAAATTGGAACATCGTTCTAAAGTCTGTTCTCTAGTAGTGTGCAGCAGCAACGATTACATAGACGTATTAGGGACGATGCCTGTGATCAGCTCCTCCCATTCAACGCACTCATAAACCCAGCTCCTCCCCTTTTAATCAATAATTAAAATTTTTCTTATATATACAATAAGACATGTAGGTTAATTAGTCTCCTTGCCATTTTCTATAGCGTTATTTTCAAACAGCCTTCTTCTCATCTGAGTTTCTCCGATTTTTGCCAAAAAAAAAAAGCTGTTTGCATCGACCATAAATGTCTCCGTATTAGATACAGACTCTAGTCTAGACATAAATATATAACTTTCTAATCGTCTCTTGCTCGTACCCTATATATATCTACCGAGGATCAATACAATCACGTCAAAACATTAGGGTTTCAAAAAATTTCTTCCTGCAATGGGAGACCCTCAGAAATCTGAGGACCGCATGGAGATCCCTACAGATCGATATCATATTCATACCGGACAACTTGCTGAGGCTACCGACCAAGGACTTTGTCCGGTCATCCCTGCGTTTGCAAGCTGTGGTGCAGCATCGTCGCAGACCCCTCCTTCCGCAAGCTCCACGTGGCTCATTATGCCGCCGCCGCATCGTCGGAGCCGGAGGTCCGGCCTGCTCGTCACAGAAACCCGCAAGCCCGGAAGGAGCGACGATGCCAGTTTCTTCAACCTTTCGTCCGCTACTGCCTTGTCCCAGGTTGCCATCCCCAGCGGATACCGCCTCGCCGGCGTCTGCAACGACTGGCTCTGCTTCGCGCTCGACCACGATCAAGCGCCTGCGGTCGTGTGCAACCCCGTCACTGGCGAGACGCTGCAGCTTCCAAAGGCACCTCCGCTCCCTGCAGGGGACCCCCAGCTGTCGCATCTCTTCGTGTTAGGGTTGAGCGCAACGACCAAGGAATACAAGATGTTCCGGGTTTCCTTCCCACGACGGCACGCATCCAGAGAGATGAGACTAACTACATAGCCGTGTACACCCTCGGTGGCGGCGGTGGCTGGCGCCAGTGCTCCTATCTCTCCCGGTTTCACCCGCTCCAATTGCCGGCGCCGGTACACATCGACGGGAATATATTCGTGCCGACCGCCGATCTGGCAGACAAACGTGCTCGCGTTGCGCGAATGTTGGTGCTCGACGTGGCGAGACGGAGACGCCCCGCTTGTACCGTATCCCGTACAACTACGATGATTATCACGTGGACTGGGACCTGATGGCCGACGGCTTTGATCTGAACGGCAGATGTGCCTCGTCGTGTACGTCGGCTTTTATCCTCATAACTCTCGCGTGAAGATCCAGTTCTGGGTCATGAAGCCGCCAGATGAGATTGAGGGCAAGGACGATGACGACGACGACGACGGCGACAAGCTGTATTGGGATCTACGCTATACCTTTTTCTTCGACGACCCCTTCCATTCTACGCCGCCGTGCCGAGGGGCGTCTGGATTGACCACGCCCAGACGTTGTGCTACCACTTCGCCAGATTCTTACTGTAGGAACGAGGGCATTTTTACTGTAGGGGCGGCTAGGGTTGGAGGCGCCCCTACAGTGGGAGTTCTCGGGCCCCAGCAGCCCAACCGCCCCTACAGATGGCACTGTAGGGGCGGCTGGTAACTTGAGCCACCCCTACAGTTGGGGTTGATCTGTAGGGGCGGCTCAATCACCAGCCGCTCCTGCAGTGCCCATTTGTCTTTTTTAAAATTTCAAAATTTGAAAGGTTCAAATTTCATCAAATGATAAGATGACCAAAATAAAAGTTGTAGATCTTGATGAGCTGAACAACTTTTGTATTCATCACTTTTACATCTGAAATCATTTAGGGTTTTAAAATTTGGTTTGAACTTATCAAATTTCAAATTTCAAAATTAAAAATGTGTAAAACATTGTCACATCCAAGTTTGATCAAACTTAAATGCTGAAGCATGATTTTAGAAATTTTTATGAAAAAAAATCATCACATTTGGAGTTAGTATGAGGGAGAACAACTAATTACAAAGTTTACCCACAGATTAAAAAGAGAAATCACACTGTTCTAGATGATCCTTACATGATCATAGTGAACAGTGTGATTTCTTTTTTTAATCTGTGGGTCAACTTTGTAACTAGTTTTTCTTCCTCATACTAATTCCAAATCTGATGATTTTTTTCCTAAAATTTTCTAAAAGCATTCTCTATCAATTTATTTTATTAGTTTTGTCAATATATACATATGAAAAGTTTGAGCAATTTAAATTTTGAATTTCAATAAAATGCAACTTCAGACAAGATTTTGGTACCCCAAATGATTTCAGCTGAAAAAGTGATAAATACCAAAGTTGAATAACTCATCAAGATCTACAACTTTTGTATTGGTCATTTCTTTATATGACAAAGTGGTAATGACATTGTTCACAGACATCTCTCATAAGGTTTTATAAACTATATGAGACATGTGTAAGATTAGTGAACAATATGTGCTAAGAATTTGTCAAATGAAGAAATGATCAAAATAAAAGTTGTAGATATTCATGAGTTGAACAACTTTGGTATTCATCACTTTTTACGTTGAAATCAATTTGGGTCTCAAATTTTGGTTCGAACTTGTCGTTTTTCAAAATTTCAAATTTGAAAGGTTCAAATTTTGTCAAATGATAAGATGACTAAAATAAAAGTTATAGATATTAATGAGTTGAACAACTTTGGTATTCATCACTTTTTATGTTGAAATCATTTTGGGTCTCAAATTTTGGTTCAAACTTGTGATTTTTTAAAATTTCAAATTTGAAAGGTTTAAATTTTGTCAAATGACAAGATGACCAAAATAAAAGTTGTAGATCTTCACGACCTCTACAACTTTGATTTTAGCTCCTAAAGTATCAACGGAAAAGCTTGGCAAATACAGTACAAATAAAAGCAGAAAAACCATGAATCTTCGAAAAAATCATTTAAGCAACCTGGCACCCATAATAAACACAATAAGCATTGGTGACATCTACCTTAATAATGTTTGGGAAGAAAATAAGTATGACATGTTTAAAAAAAAGTACAAGTACGAGCGAATACTACGGCCAGCGTCGTGAGACAGATATACGACCGGCTTGATCCCGAGGCAATGAGGCTTCCTCCTAATTCAAGCCAAGCCCAAACCCACGACCGTCCATTCCGCTCATGGTTGCTTGCTTGCATGGCCGGCCTCGCCTAAAACCCAATCCATACTCGAGCTAGGGCAGCCCAGCCAAACCCTAGGCCACCCGCGCCACGCCCGCGTGGCACCCATATGGGCTGACCGTCATGGTGGGGGAGCCGGATCGGGAGCTAGGGTTCCGCCGTCCTCGTGGCACCGCCATGGAGTGGGGACAATGAGTCCGACGGTCCGGCGAGGAGGAGGAGGAGGAGGAGGGGAGGAGAGGAGGTGAGGGTGGAGGTGGCGCGGCCGGGAGCTGGTGGGATGTTCACGTTCGTGATTGAAGGCATGCTACTGGCGATGTCCGGGCCGTCTTGGGCTCGTCGTCACCGACGCGCTCGAGCCCAGCGCCCCATCATCTCACGTCAACGGCGGCCGAGGAAGCCACGGGCTACCGCGCCGAGGAGGTCCTCGGCGAGGAACTGGTCGGTGCTACCTTATCCCATATCCTTTCATTTCAATTAAGATCACGCAACTAGTTTCATTTTGGTTGCAAGGATTGCTCTGTGCTACATAGAATCATCTGAGAACCTCATTGTTAGTTCTTTTGTTAGCTATATATCGTTGTATAAGCATCTGCGGTCATGATTTTGTTTCTTAGAAACGAGCTTAGGCTGGTAGGTCCTCATTTTCTTTGTTAGACTAGTCTCCCCTTTCAACTGGTCACACACGGTTTCATTTAGTTGGAAGGATTGATCTGTGCCACTTAGAATCGAGCAAAACTTTTATTCTTTGTTAGGTCTTTACTTAGCTATCGTTGTAAGCATCGATTGTAGTCATGAATTTGAGTAAGAGAGCTTAGGCTGGGAGGTGCTCATTTTAGTTGTTAGAATACGCTTCCTTTCGTGAAATAGCAAGTGCCATCTTCTTGCTATTGTTAGGTGCAAAGGTTGGCCTCCTCTTGATATTGTTAGATGCAAGGAAGCAAAACGTAGTATTACTTTTTGTTTGTTTTGTCATGGTTTACGTGTTGGTGATTGAGTATTAGAAATGCGGTTACAATAGTAGGTATGTAGCAGGATTGGTCGGTGCTACCTTATCCCATATCTAGTGATTATAGAAAAATGGATTACTTCATGTTCCAAAGGAAGAGGCGTAGAAGGCTCAGGCAGCCATGTTTTCAGATCCAAACATGGCCATGGACATGATGAAGAAGAATCTATCCATGATAGTTCCTCGGGTCCTATGTTACGCACATTGAATTATTTGTGTTGCGGTATAGTTGGCTATCGTGTGGCATTCTACCTTATATTAACATCTTTGTTTTGTCTTTTTGCGAGACACTTACATTTGCATGGGTGAACTTTTTCTTTTCGGGTTTTATTTTGAGGTATGTCCATATTTGCTTAATATATATATGATTTGGGATACGATCTTCTCTCATATCTCGACTACAAGTTTAATCCTCATATTAATTCCAATTCCATGCTATTATAAGATCACCTCTGTTAATTCCGAGCTCAATTCTACCTTTTGAGTCTTTGCAAAGTTATTGTATATAAACACACCTGAACTTTATCTTATGGTATCATCAATAGATGATGGAAATGATTTTTAACACATTTTGGTATGGCAATTTGCAATCTTTGGAAGAAACACGATACCAAAACTATGTTACGAAGTCGCCATTTCTTTTTACTTTTAAATTGAAAATGATAGGGTAAAATGCTATTTTATAGTCACGTTCTCTATCTAGCACTTTTCAATTCTGGCTTGTGATCCCAATAAAACTTAGAGATGCATTGTTAAGAATTAAATACTTTGATGAAATTAGTAGTTAGCATATTTCACGTAATAAAGCGGACATATACCCATGTGTATTATTTGCTTTTTGCTGTTTTGTTATCATGTCTTATCTCCAATTGTATGTAGTTGAAGAATGCTCACATAGATGCCAATCTCTTTTCAAATGAAAATCCCCTTTCCGTTGACTCGGAGATTAGGGAATTTGCAAAATGGGATTGACACGAAACCTTTATTCTTTGTCACTATGTCGTGACCGTTCATGGTATGTATAGAATTATTATCTTTGTGTCAAGGAATTACCTTGATGATAGTGACTAGGAGCTCTATAATCTCTAACGCTTTTGTTATTGATAGGTATTTCCTCAATTTATTCAGCTTGACGAGGGTCTTTTCAGTCTGATCCTTGGTGAAGAAAACGGTAGTGATACTCACCTTTATCTCTGGAAAACTTGTTAGTGGTGTTTATTTATTATTTTGCATTGCCCGGTGGTTTGATTATCTTTGCCTGGATGTGCAGCAACTGATGATGCACAAAAAATGATGCAAATGGGCGGTGGATTTGGATTTAACCCAACAATGGTAAGATGCTCTCTGTTATTTATGCAAATTCTTGGTGCTTGTTCCTGATTCACGGTACATCACACACCACTTATTTTCACATTCTTAACAATTATTTATCTTCATGGAGATTTCTTAGCAGTAGCAATATCTGCATGTGTAGTTGTGACTGCATCAAATGTACTGAATTTTCAGTATTGGCTAGAGCAAATGTTTGAACTTTATTATTCTTGTTGTATTTACTTGCTGTGATTTTGTGAAACCAGTGTCAAAATGTTTAGTGTGAATTGGTGTACTTCCTGGAAATGCTTAAATATATGTCAGAGTTGAGAAAAGATTGTTGTTACTTGATTTGAATTATATATATATATGGTCAGATTTGAATTATTATTTTTTTGCTGAAAATCCACTGTAGGGGCGGTTCTTGATTGAACCGCCCTTACAAACCGCCCTTACAAATACACACGGGCAGTGGTAATTTGGTGTCTGACCGCCCTCTGAAGAG